AGAAAAAAAATGGGGACAAGGGGCAGAATTTAAATTCATGACACTCACCGACAAATAAGTTTCCTTTTTCTAGACTTCTTAGAACAGAATAGAAACGCTATTTACCATAATCTGCTTTCTTTACAACTGGAGAAATGTTTTACAGTTAAACAGATAATAATAATAATAAAAAATCATATTTATTGCTGTTTATTCACTGTGACCAGATTATTGAAAGCATGAAAACAAACTGCTCAAGTCTATTTAAAAATGATTCCTTTTTCACCTTAAAAGAAATAGGATAACAATGCTTACCTTTCAAATGCTACAAACCATACTGCTTTAAAAAAACAAAAAAACAAAACAAAACAAAAAAACAAAGAAAGGAAAGAAAAGGAAAAAAAAAACTTTTCACAAGGTAAAGACTATACTCTAATACTCCTGAAGAGGGCAGGGTCCCCCTATTCCTGTATATCCTGAACTCTTCATTCTTACACTGATTTTTGTCCAATTTAGAATGAAATACAGTACCTAACCTAGAATGCTATTTGCATGGGAACTATGAAGGTCATCTCTACAGAACTTCCTAAGTGTGGAAATAATCAAGATTTCCAAATAACATAATCTTGTACATTCTCACAGTATCCTCATGTTACTAGGACTGGTACTGTAGGAAGACTTTTGGCCCTGAAGCAAGGAGATAATTAGTTTTGATTCTTGTTCCTGCCATTTTTCTGCCATTTCTCTGACACGACTATTAGCTATGTGACTATGAGCAAGCCGTTTTAGTTTTCTGAGCCTAATGTCTGCATAATAAGGGTAATGTTTATAATACTTATTTCACAAGCTGTTGTGAGGATCATTGTTGTTGCTGTGATTCAGGCCTATCTGATCTTTGAGACCCCAGTACGGAGTTTTCTTGGCACACATACTGGAGTTTGCCATTTCCCTCTCTGGTGGATTAAGGCAAACAGGGTTAAATTGATTTGCCCAGGGTTCTACAGCTTGGGAGTATATGAGGAGAGATTTGAATTCAGATCTTCCTGACTCCAGACCTAGTGCTCTCTCCAATGAGCCACCTAGCTGCCTATTGAAAGGATCACCTAAGGCCATTTACTTAAAGCACTTTGTAAATCTTAATGTGATTTGGGAATGTTAGCCATTATTATTATCATAGAGCCTGGCACATAGCTGAGACTTATTAAATGCATGTTGAATAGAGTTAATAATAATCATGTATGTCTATGGACTTTGAGATACTTGGATGATACTTTTAAAAAATAAAAAATATCTTTTTTAATGGCACAAATAATAATATCTCAATAATATTCTTGCTTTACATATGGTCAGAATTAGTGAATACTCTGTTATTGAAGTTCAATTTTTTTTACTTTGCGTTATTCTTAAAAATTTCCAAATTTCTTTATATTGTTCATACTTGTCAGTATTAATTGCATAATAGTATTCCATTACATTATTTTGTGAGTTTACTTAATCTTTACCCTGTTATTGGACGTTTAGACTGATTGTTTTTTTTCCCCCAATTATAAGCAATTCTGCTATGAAAATCTTTAGCTAAACAGCACCTCCCTCTTTTTTTTGATGATACATTTAAGGCATATTCTCAGAAGTGGAACTATTGGATCAAAACGTATGATAATTTTGATGTCTTTTATGGTGTATTGCCAGTCTGTTTAAAAAAAATTCTACTAATTTGCAATACCAGTAGGAATGAATGTCTGTGTTTCTCCATAATCCTACCACCAATGAGTTACATTGCTTTTACTTTCTTTTAGCTTAATTGGTGTGAAGTAGTACCACAAAGTCATTCTTATTTATATCTCTAGTTATTATTATTATTAGACATTGAACATGTTTTCAATTATTAGGAACAATTTGTCTTTTCTCTCTTGAAAATTGTCTGCTTATTTTTTTTAACCATTTATTCGGAAGCTTCTGTTAATCTATCTGTGAACAAATGATCAATAGCTGGCCTATAAAATCTGAAAAAAGATGAGGAAAAGCTAGGTAAACTAGGCTCTGTCTGAATGTGTCTTTCCCCAATAACCTGATATCAACCTATCAAATCAAAGCAAATTTTCATTAGGCCTGCATCCTCTTCTGAAGACAGCAAGATCCAGACCTGGATAAGAAGGTATATTTAACAGGTTCCTCAGTGAACTGGGCTTTCCCTGCCGATGACTATTCCTAGATACAGGTAAAAATCCCTTCTCTATAGGAGTTGAACCTACCTTGAAACTACCTGGAACCCAAGAGAAGTCTCAGAACAGATCCTCCTATAGCAGCTGTACTTTAGATCAGGCATAAGCAATCTATCAGGAGGTAGTATTTTTAAAAAGCACCTAGTCCTGACTCTATGACTTACTACCTTTGTGACTTTGAAAGAAAGCACTTAACCTCTCCAAATCTCAGCAGATTTATCTCTCAAGAGCATGAATAATGCCTTCTGCTTTGATTATCTCAAAGGTATTGTGAGTTAAAAACACTTTGTATGATAGAAAAAAAAATAAAGGAACGTGAAATATTTATTACCATTGTTAATAAATATTTTGTTTGTTTTCCATTGACAGTGGATGTGGAGGGGCAAAAAGATTGGTGGCAGTGACATTTCTTCATTGCCATGGGGATACAGAATCCTGGAAAGCTTCTGGTATGAAATGGCAGGACTGAGTCCTTTAGCCGTGCAAAATAGGGACAATCTAAATGGAGCCACTAGGTGGCGGGGTGGGTAGCATGCAGTACTTGGAATTAGAAAGGGTCACTTTTGAATTGTCCCTCAGATATTTAATAGCTATGTCCCTGGGAAAATCGTTTGGCTTCTTTTAGCCTCAGTTTCCCCATCTGTAAAATGTATCTCATACTAGTATTTCACATGTTGTTTTGGAGACCAAATGAAACACTGTATGTAAAACACTTTGCAAACATTAAATATCCTATATAAATGTTGGGGCAGCTAGGTGGAACAGTGGATAGAGCACCAGTCCTGGAGTCAGGAAGACCTGAGTTCAAATCTAGCCTCAGACACTTACTAGCCACTTAACCCTGTTTATCTTAATTTCCTCATCTGTAAAGTAAAGTGAGTTAGAGAAGGAAATGACAAACCACTGCAGTGCTTCTGCCAGGATAACTCCACATTGGGTCATGAAAGAGTCAGACACAACTGAAATGACTCAGCAGCAGCAACAACAACGTAAATGTTAGCATTATTAGGTCCTCGTAGTCTTGGGCTTCTGCAGAATGGGCTTTTCTTCCTTATTCTTCCCCCGCCCTCCATCCCAACCATGCCTATGTTTTCATCTCTGATAAGGAGAACATAAAGAGTACTTAAAAAAAACAACAACTAATGGATAGATGATAGATTCGGTCTTTATCAGTTAACAAGGTAATTAACAGCACCTCGATAAAGATTATTTGACTTCCAGCTGATGTTGAGACTGAGACATAAGGGGGCTCCTGAGTTTGTGCAGATGGTGGCGGGCAGTGATGAGGACGATAGTCAGCCACACAAGTTAGGAGGCAGATGGAACACTAATGGGGGAAGGTGAGAGGGCACCAGAGATGAACTTCAGCTACAGCTGTTGCTGGCTATGCTATTCAAATTAACTTGGAATGTCAGATAGGTAAGCAACACCTATTTTATTCTGGGACTTGTTCACCTTGGTCTCTATCATAATTTATAGTCCAAGGGGATCCCTAAAGCTGTTTAGGGTGCACATTTTGTTTATGTCCAATATCTTAGACGTGTCTTTTGGATAAACATGTCTGTGTGGCTTTGTTGTCTTTCTGTCACTTTAGTCAGGTCCAACTCTTTGTGACACCATTTGGGGTTTTCTTGGCAATGATAATAGTTTGCCATTTCCTTCTCCAACTCATTTTACAGATGAGGAAACTGAAGCAAACATGGTTAAATACTTGCCCAGGGTCACACAGTAAGTGTTTGAAGCTGGATTTGAACTTAGGTCTTCCTGACTCCAGGCCTAGAGCAGTCTGCTGTGCCAACCAGCTGTCCTATGTATTGCACTGGCCTATATATATTTTTTCAATTACAAATAATGCTAGTACAAAAATCTTTGAACATATAGGTATTTTCTTGTTTTTATTTTTGATCACATTATTAGGATATATTCCCAATGATGTAATTATTAGGTAAAAGCGTATGATTGTTTTTGCAGTTTCTATTATGTATTGCTAGATTGTTCACCAAAGAAATTCTGTTTGTAATGCCATGGCAACAAATGAGTAAACCTGACAAAACCTGCCAGTACTGGGTTTCATTATCTTTAATATTTTTTCAACCATCTGATTGGAATGAGGTACAATTTCAAGGTTATTTTAATTTGTATCTTTTTTGGTTCTTTATTGTTATCAGTGAGGAACAATTTTTTTCAAATGATTATGAATAATTTACAATTTTTCTTTTCATATTCCTTGACCATTTGCTTTGATGTTTATATTAAACCATCTGTGACAAAGGGGACAACACTTGGCATATGTTTTCTATTTCAAAAGGAAGGGGAAAGGCTAGAAAATCAAGCCCTCTCTGAATATCACTGTTTTCAGTCTCATTACAGCATTCTATCAAAGACCTTAAGTCAACCTAAGGCGACCCTTGGTTGCATACCTCTTAAACCCAATGTCCTAAACACGTCCAGACCTATGAGTAAACAGATGTGCGTTGGATTGGCCTATGAATCTGGGGGGCAGCTGAGTGGTGCAGTGGATACAGCACTGGCCTTGGAGCTGGGAGAGCCTGAGCTAAATCTGGCCTCAGATTTAGCTGTGTTACTCTTGGTGAGTCACTTAACCTGTTTGTCTCAGTTTTCTGAACTGAAAAATGGGGATGAAAATAGCATCTACCTTGCAGGGTTGTTGTGAAACTCAAATGAGATAATATTTGTAAAAATGTTTAGCACAGTGCCTGGCATTAATAATGCTTATTCCTTTCTCTCACCTTTCCCATTCTAAAACCTTCTAAACACTACTCAGTGTCTTCTACCCACCTGGCATTTTTTCTCCCATAGAGTATTCAGGGTCACATTCTCCACTCTCTCAGATGGGAAGAGCTTGGTTCCAAATGCCTCCTGGATCCGTCGAATCAGGTATTCATGGTGGGCATCATCCATGGCATAGAAGTGGTTGAAGTCCAGGAAGACAACTTCTTTGGGGTGTTGTGTGAGGAAAGAGTTGATCTCCATCAGCCCATCCCAGACTTTGATGCCAAAAAGACCATGGATGAAGTAGATCTCCCGGTTAGTATCACCAGGCTTGGATGACACACGCAGGTCAAAGTAGCGAATCCCTGCCTCTAGCTGCTCCCTGAACGTCAGGTTCTGCGTAACGGACCATTTCTTCATCAGCTTTTTCACAAAGGAGACCCTGGCAAGACGCTTGATAGCTGGGGTTTGGTCTGGTCCCACAGGAGACTTTTCATCTACCCAGTAGCTGAAAGAATCATGGGACCCTAAAGGAAGAAAGCATAAAACAGGTGATAAGTGATGAAAGCAGTAGATATATACTTCTCATAGTCAATGTGCTCTCCGCCCCCCCAGAGGGATAAAAGGCCCTGGCATCTCCAGCCTTGGACCCAGGAGGATCTGAGTTCAAATCTGGCCTCGGACACGTGACATTTACTAGCTGTGTGACCCATTGCAAATCATTTAACCCTGATGGCCTCACCAAAAAGCAAAAAAAAAAAAAATTAAAATAAAAAAAGGCCCTGGCATTATCTAGCATACTAATCTTTTCTTAGGGGCAACTAGGTGGTACAATGGATAGAGTGTCGGCCCTGGAGTGAGGAAGATGAGAGTTCAAATCTGGCCTCAGATACTTAGTAGCTGTGTGACCCTGACCCAGTCACTTAACCCTGTTTGCCCCAGTTTCCTCATTTGTATAACAAGCTGGAGAAGGAAATGGCAAACCACTGTAGTATCTTTGCCAAGAAAACCCCAAATGAGGTCATGAAGAGTTGGGCATGACTGAACAACAACAACAAGCAATCTTTTCTTCTCCCCTCATCCGCCTCTAATCACAGGATCTAGAGATGGAAAGAACTTCAGAGATCATCTAGTTGAACCCTGTCACTCTACATATGAAGAAAGTAAGGTCCTGAGAGATGAAGTTCACTTTCACAAGGTCACACAGACAACAGGTGGCAGATCTGAGACAGGGCCAATGACCTTTGAGTCTGAATATGGTGACCTTCCTACAATGAATGAATGAATGAGCAATTATCAAGTGCCTACTGTGTGCCAACACTGGGGGAAAGGAAGGGAGCAATCATTGATGTGATACCTACTATGTGCTGGGCACTGGGCTAAGCATTTTTACAGACACTATCTCATTTGATCCTCACAACAATCCCGCGAGGGAGGTTCCACTCTCATCTTCATTTTATAGTTGAGGAAACTAAGGCAAAGAGAGGTTAAGTGGCTTGTCCAATGTCACTCCTAGGAAGCATCTAAGGTTGGATTTGGATTCAGGTCTTCCTGATCCAGGGCCCAGCACTCTATCCACTGGACCACCAACTGCCTCTGGAAATACAAAAAGCAGGATGGGGGCAAGTAGTGGCACAGTGGATAGAGTACTGGCCCTGGTGTCGGAGGACCTGAGTTCAAATCTGGACTCAGACATTTGACACTTACTAGCTGTGATCCTGGGCAAGTCACTTAACCCCATTGCCTAGCCAAAACAAGAAAAAGTAGGATAGTTCCTGCTCTCAAGGAGCCCTCTATCTTATTGTGGGAGACAACATGTAAAAGAAACCGCTTCTTTAGGGGCAGACTGAAAAGCCCCAAAATCTTAACAGAGCTAATGGTCAAGGTCAGAGAGCCTTAGGTTACTATGGGAGATAAGATGACAGTACCGGATATCTGCAGAGTACAGAAGCAGGGCACATTGTAAAACCTAGAGGATCTTAGGAGGCAATGGAAATGAAGGTGGTAAGGACTGGTAGTCTTCTATCTCACTGGAAGGAATGGAGCTGGGGGCTCTCATCTTATTCAAATCGTGTGAGCAGTCAAGCAACCCAGTGAGTTCTGGGCAACTACAGTAGCGGGGAAAGGGAACTAGAGCCCCTGTTGGGGGTAGGTAGGTCTTCCAATAGCTCTATTGTTCAGTATGGGTTCTGCTGCAAATGCCAGAATTCCAAAAGGCATTTTGTTAATAAAGGGTACACTACTTTGAACATTCCTGGGGGATTGGAGGGGGATTTGTAGTGATAGAGTACCTTTGCTTAAGGCAGTCAGAGCACTTATTCTGATAGATAAGATGACCTGGAAATACACTGGGCTTGAAGTATGCAGCACTTTTTACCTTTTACCCCTCTCTTTTTAAATTTTTCTTAAGAGATAGCTCTCTGGGCAAGGGATAGAAGGAATATATTGGTAAATGTAGGTGACACAAAAACAGATGATACTAATAAATAAATATACATTACATATTTAAATAAAATAACTATTAATGGACAAATGGAGATGTTTACTTCTTTTCTACCAGTGAAATCCTTGTATTCAATTCAACCAAGATATCCACCAATTGCAAGAAACCATGCTAAGTTCTTAAACTGCAAAGGTAACAGTTTCAATGTTCATTTCTCACAAGAAATTCACAGTTGAATAGAGGAAACATGGCCTGTTCACAAATGAGCACAATATAAAGGAGAGCATAATAAATGAAAAGGAGAAATCCTAGGAAGGCAATATAAGAAAATATGGGGAGTGATCACTTTTAGGTAGGGGGTTAGAGTACTTCATGGAGGAAATATCAGCTATGCTGGGCCTTGAAAGAAGAGGATTTCAATGTGAAAAGATATGAACTGGATATGTTCTTAGGTATGGGGGACAAGAGAGTATAAGGCAAATCTAGTTGTATACTTTGGACTGAATGTAGAAAATGAAGAATGGTATTAGGAGATAATATTGTGTGTATGTAAGGTAAATTGTGGAGGGTCTTAAATGCTAGGGTAATAAGTTTATATTTTATTCTACAGGTCATAGGGAACCATTGAAGGTTTTGGGGCAGAGGAATGAAAGTATCAGACTTATGAATTAAGAAGAATATCTTAACAATTATGTGATGAATGGACTAGAGAAAGGAGATATTAGAGGTAGAGGCACCTTAAAAACAGCTATTCCAATGGTTCAGGTAAGAGGTGAAAAGAGTCATTGACCTAGCATGATGGTGGTATGAGTGAAGAGGTATTATGGAGGTAGAACTCTTAGGACTTTGACCATTGACTGTTGCAAGAGTGACATCTATCTGACACCTATCAGGCTAGGCTGGTTTTTCCTTAGAAGGTTTCAAAACCATTGGTCCAGAGTCCCAAGATTCAAACCACTATCATATTTTTCTAATACCTAAATGCAAAAGTCAGCCCATAAGGAATCAGAAACTGTCCTCAGGTTTGACCAGTGTTTCCAATGAAGAGGTAGGGAATCTATATTTAACTGAATCAATGCTGTATCCTTGATGAATATTCTTTCTATTCTATGGCTAAGTAAACCTCTTTTTGCCAATCACAAAACAATTTATGAGTCTTATTTCACTCCTCTTCTGAACCAGAACAACCAGACTGGCCTGAGTCACTCCTACTATACCACAATGGGAAAAGGAAGAATTAAAGGTGACTTTGAAGTTTCAAACTTAGCTTAACTGATGGGATGGTGTGCCATCAAGAGAAAAAAGGGAAACTGAGGGGATAGATGAGTTTTGGAGGGAAGATCATGAATTAATTTTGGGACATTCAGATGGCAATGTCTAATAACAACAGCTAGAAATGTAGAAGGACTCAGAGAAGAGCTTCAGTTTTGAGTTATGGTTTTGGGATTGATCTGCCTAAAAAGTTATGGAAGTTATAGAAGCAAATGAGTCACAAAGAGAGTATAGGGTAGAGGCACAAAACAAGAGGACTGAGGACAAGGCCTTGGGTGACACCAGCCCTTCAGGGGCAGGAGGGAGAAGATGAAACAGAAAAGAAACAGATGTGGAACAGTCAAGGAGGGAGAAAACCAGGGATAGCAATGTATTAGAAGCAAAGGGAAGAAAGCATTAAGAAGAAAAAAATCAATAACTATGTTAACCATTGAAGAGAGGTCAAGGGGTATGAGGAGTCAGGGGAAAAAAAAGTATTGGATTTGTTAATTAAGAGGCATTTGGTGACCTTGGAGAAAGCAATTTGAGGAGAGTGGTAAGTATAGAATCCAAACTATAGGCCTTGAAGAGTGAGTAGTTAATGAGGTAGTTAATGAAATCAGCAAACATAAAGTATTCTTTCTATAAGTTTAGCAATGAAGAGAAGAAGAGATTAAGGACAGCAGCTAGAGAGTGGTGGTAGTGTTTGGGCCAGAGAAAGGTGGTTGTTTTTTTCATTTCATTTTGTTTTGTCTTTAGGCTAAGGGGTACTAAGCATATTTGTAGACAGAGGGAAAAGAGCCTACAGTCAAGAAGATATTGAAGGTAGAACAGGTCTCATAAAAATTAATATGCCAGGGGCAGCTAGGTGGCGCAATGAATAGCACTGGCTCTGGAGTCAGGAGGACCTGAGTTCAAATGTGACCTCAGACATTTGATACTCACTAGCTGTGTAACCCGGGGCAAGTCACTTAACTCCAACTGCCTCGCCCAAAAAAAACCCCAAAATTAATTAGGCAGTCAATAAATAAGCATTTATTAAGTGCCTACTATATGCTAGGCACTGTGTTAAGCACTGGGGATACAAAGAAAGCAAAAAAAAAATCCAATAGTTCCTACTCTCAAGGAATTCATATTCTAATGGGGAAGATGATGTGTAAACAAACTATGTACGAACAGGATATATACGTAATAAATTAGAGAGAATCTTAGAAATAAAGCACTAAAAGTGAAAGGAATTTGGAAACACTTCTTCCAGAACGTAGGATTTTAGTTGGGATCTGAAGGAATCCAGGAGATTAAAATGAGGGGTGAGAGGATGTCAGATAGGAGGATCAGCCTCTGAAAACGTGCCAAATTGGGCAATGGAGTGTCATGCAAGGAACCACGAAGAGGCCAATATCTCTGGATCACACAATATGTTGAGGGGAGTAAAGTATAAATAAGATTGGAAAAGTAAGAAGGAGTCAGGTTACAAAGTGCTTTAAAAGCCAAACAGAGGATTTTATATTTGATTTTGGAGGTAATAGAGAGTCTCTGGAGAAAGAAGGTAATGGAGGCAAGGATAAAAGTGGAAGGGAAGGCAAGGGATTGGCAAGGAGAAGGCCACCTCCTCTGCAACTGGAAAGGTGAAGGTGAGAAGGGAGGGAGGACATAGAGAGGCATACAGGAGGGAGAGATAAAAGAGTTCAGTGTAGATGATCTCAGTAAAGTTCCAGGCCATCAGTGTAGAATTGGGAGACCCGAGAAAGATGGTTCATTGCAACTAATCTGTGGGAACAAATCAGAAATGAACAGAAGAATTGCCATTTACCAATAAGGGCTCACCTAAGG